GCTCCAGGCACACCAGGTGATAGGCCCGCGGACAGGTGTCGCACAGGATGATTTCACCGCCCTGCTGGCACACCTCACAGTAGTCCTGGTGCTCGTGTTCGCCATCCTCGCCCTCCGGGAAGTTCTTGGTCTTCTTGAGTTTGTTCTTCTTCTTGAACTTGTTGCCAATCTTGGTCTTGGCCTTCTTGCGCACCACCGGAGCACCGGTGGCAGCGGCGTCGTCCTGGGCAGCGGCAGCGGATGATGCCGCGTTGTCCGCCTTGGCGGAGGCAGGCGTCTCCTTCTCATCGGCACTCTCGTCCGATTTCTGGAGCATGCGTTCAAACTCCAGATCCGAGTCACGTTCGGAGCCACCGCTGGCCTCTGGCTCCTCGTCCGAGCTGTCCCGTTTGCGCTTGCCCAGCAGCTTGATCTTCAGCGTGGGCACCTTGGCGGAGGGGCGGCGTCCCTTCTTGCCACGCCCACTGCGCTTGCGTCGCGGCTTCTTCTCCTCCTCCTCCTCCTCTTCCTCCTCCTCGACGGCCTCCTCGTAGATGTCGTCCGGTTTCTCGTTGCGCGATGAGCGCGAAGATCGCGGTTCCTCTGGCTCATCGCCGGTCACACTGCGCGCCTGTCCGGCGGATGTTCCCGAACCGGCGGCACCACCGCCCTCCTGCTGGATGTGCGGATTGCTCTCGCAGAACTCACGCCACTTGGCCGCCACCAGCATCATCAGCTTGGGCGCCGCGATCTTGGGGTTCTCCTTCTGCAGAATGGGTCGAACATGCTGCATGAACGCCTTGTAGGTGGTCAGGCTCTGCAGCTCCTCCTCGCTGTACTCGATCTCCACGTCGCACACGCTGAAAGCCGAGCATACGTCCTCCACGGAGGGCATACCTGGAAGCAAATGCAACGATAGTATATGAACATCTACTTCAATAATCGCCTTTATTAATCTCAACAGTTTAGAATATAAAAAAGGTTTTTATTTACCTAGATTAAGATTTTATTTGTAATTATTCTTCTATTTTTAAGTGTGTTTTTATTTTTACGAAAAGTTAAAAGCTTAAAATACATCTAGCTCAAGTCCAAAAATCACTTGGATCGGAATACTAAAATCTATATCTACCGCGATAAGTTAAGTTTCGTATTCTTACTTTATATAAATTAAAAAAAAAATTTTTTTTTAATTTTGAAAGTCTAGGCTTTTAAAAACTAGATGCTAAGAGGATTTTAAAAAATTCGTGTTATTTTGGGGGGCAGATCCAGTTCTGTGCCGTGGAGTCCGAGCTATTAGAATCTTTCCTTATCTTAAAACGCATTTTGTCGCAAAACTTTTGAACATTTCAACATTTAATTTTTTTTTCTTTGAGTGTGGTTAACCCGACAACGGCATCTTTACTAATGAAGAATTTATTTGATTTTTATTTAGATTTGTAAAACTGTTTCAAATGATTTGAATTAAAAACATTTCTTTAAACGTAAGCCAAATGGAGTACACGCCTAAGTGCTATAACGCCCATGGGGCAAGTGACTGGTTATTCTTGGAGGTACTCACAAATTATGTACATAGTATCAAAATATTAGCACTACAATTGATATTTAAATTTCAAAATCGAGGCCCATGAGGGCATTATCGCACCCGCCAAATGACGTCGAAACGTCGATTTTTAGACAGGCTTTGCTTACCAGATGATGCCGACTCCTTCTCCTTGGCGGCCTGCTTCTCCTCCTTGCGTTTCCGGCCGCGCTTCGAGGTGCTCGGGTACTCCACCTCCTCATCGTGCTGGACGAAGTCGCTGTCCTCCTCGCTCTCGTTCTTCTTGCGCTTCTTCTTCTTGCGACCCTTCTCCTCGCCCTTCCGGGTCTTCCGCTTCTTGCCCTTCTTCTTCTTGCGATTATCCTCGGGATCGTAGTCATCATCCTCGTCATTCTGTCGGGATATCGATGGGGTTTATTTGGGATTATATGTGATATAGTTGTATAAACAACTATGGTACTACTTACGTTCGGCTTTAGAGGCGCATCGGAATCGTTGGACAGCTCCGCTGGAGGTGCATTGTCCTCCTGGGCCTCTTCTTCTTCTAAATAGGGGATCAAAATGATGGAATATGATTAGTGCTGTCCCACAAATATATCGCTATGCTGGGCGATCTGGATTTACCGTGAGTCATGTTCAAAGAGCTTCAATCGATCGGAAAAAAAAAACCAAGATAAAATAAAACCAATGGCAACGTTTTTTTTTTTTTTCGATTCAATATTTTATTTGATTCTATTTTTTTGCTTTTTTTGTCAAGTTTTTTTCTTTCTTCTTTTGTTGTTTGTGGTCTTAATAATTACTAGTATATAACAATATCTCTTTTTTTGTAAGATTTTTCATTCTGCTGGTCTTGTCAGCGGTTTTGCTCTTAGATGTACAATAATAATAATAATATTTTTCTCATGTCTCTTGATCTGTTTTACTCTTCTTCTTTTCTCGGCTTACACAATCATTAATCGTTAATAAGTTCCTTTTCAATTGCTGTGTTATAGTTCATGTGTGTCTCTGTGTGTTTGTTTGTTGTGTGTTCTTTGTGGGTGTGTTGTCATATGTGGTTTATTTATGTATGAGGGCGTGGCATTTTATATAAAACTAGTAAGTTTCTTTTGTTGCTTATCAAATGTCAATGTTGTATATATATATATATATAGATATATATAGATACATATATACATATATATGTATATATTTAGTGGTTTTTTTTTTTTGTTGTTGTTGTATATAAATTGTATATATGATTTTGTTTTTGTTGTAATTGCTACGAATCGATTTTAAACGCTTGATTTTTTGCAACTTGATCTCAATGTTTCATTTGATTTTCCCTTTCGTTTGTTTTCCTTCCCCTACTACTTAAATATCATATATAAAAAATATTGCAACGAAATAGCTAAAATTTCATGGTTTTCTTCGATTTCGTGTTAGTTTTTTTTTTTTAACCTTCTTTGTTTAGGTTTTGGTTTTGTTTTGTTTTGTTTCGTTTCGTTTCGTTTCGTCTCCCCATCGTCTCCGTATTTTGGACACTAGAGTTTCAGCAAATAATTTGATAATTTTTAAGCGACTTTATCATCTCTCCTTTCACATTTGCTTGTATTTTGTTTAAGTTTGTTGTTATTATTATTATTTTTTTACTTAAGGAAGCTTCCGTAACATGCTTAGAGTTGTCCTAAAACTAAAAGCAAACAACTTAAGGGGTCGCCATAGCTGTGATACAACCATTAAGTATATCATTTCTATTAGTCCTCTCATAGTTTTGAGCAATAACTAGTCCAAAGCCGCAAATAATATAAATAAAGTCTCTGTCTTCGGTCAGTTCTGAAAATGTCCCTATTTGTTTAGTTTTGACACTGTTTACAGATTGGAAAGGTACGGTACGGTACGGTACAGAATAGTACAGTACAGTACAGTACGGTACGGTAATGGTACTGCTGGAGTTGGCTAAAAAAAAATATAAACGCTACGTACGCGAAACAAAAACCTGTGTATAATTAAACACAAAAATATATAACAAATTAACTAGTTATCGATAAAACAGAAGAATTTTTTTCTACACAAGCCGTTTAAAAGTTCAGTCTATTGTTTAGAGGCACGCCCGCATGCAACACCACCAAAGGGAAATATATAATTTACACACATAATCGCATATTTAATGGGGGTTGATAAGACCAACGAGGTATTTGAACTGGTTGTAAACGATGAAGCGACTGCACGATCTGAATGTATATCCTTGAAATTTGCTCAAGCAGCCACTTCATCGTTTACGACCAGCTTAAAATATTACGTTTTGTATAAAAACCAAAGCTGTAAATTGGTTCTGTTACAATTTTCACTTTTAAAAAAAAAATTTATTTTTTAAAATTTACAAATAGAAAACCCTTGGAATATTAGGAAGAAAAAAAACTAATTCTGGCCAAAAGAGAATATCTTAAAACAGAGTTCGGGTTCGGTATTACCAACTTTCCCAACAATATGCAATTGATTTTCTGGCTTGTTTCTGTGGTGCTCTCTTTTTCTCTCAGTGTGTATCTGTTGTCTGTTTGTTGGTTACGGTATTCAATTGTGGTCATCGTAGGCCTAGGCAAACATTGGCTCAATATCAGTTAACTCTACTCGCACCCAATCCCGATCCCGATTCCGATCCCGATTCCAATCCCAAACCCAAATCCCACTATAAACCTGGATCCTGGACTTTGGGCACGTGCAGTCGACAGCAGCGAGGACACTTTGTGCTGGCCTACTCGCTCGCTATATCTCTCTCAATCTCTCTCGTTCTCTACACAAATCTAAAACAAAAGCTATGCCCAAAAATGCAAAAAAATTTGTCGATGAGTGTGTACTATGTGTGTTTGTGTGTGTGAGTGTGTGTGTGTGTGTGTGTGTGTGTGATACATTTTGTTGATCCTTTTTCTTGTGTGAGGTGTGAGTGTTTGCCGTTTGTAACAAATGTTAAACAAAAATCAAGAATCAAAATAAGAAGAGTCTCTAGATTAAAAACGAAAAACATACACGCTATATTTAAAAGTTGATAATAATAATATAATAATAATAATAATTATTACACACAAAACGCAAGGAAAAACACATGTGTTTTCGGTTTTTGTTTTCATTTAGTTACTTATGCCTGCGCTTATTTAAGCTGCTCAATATGCTCAACAAAAAATTAAGTCTACAACTCGTTCGTATATAATTTTTTTTTGCTTTCGCCGTTGTTGTTTTTAAAAATATTGATTTTGTTTCCTCCTCATCATCTCGTCTTCTTCTGGCTTGTTGTTATGTATATAGTTCATATATGTATATATGTATATATTATATGTGTGTAGAAATCGGTGGCAGCAGAACTCGCCCGCCGCCTACCCTCGTTTTTAATGTAATAAAAATTATTTTACGCGAAAGTTTGTATTTTTTGTTTAGTTTTTGTTAACATAATTTCAACATTTTTTTGAAGGTTTTTTTTTTTTGCTTGTAGTACAATTTTCTTTTAGAACGTTTTTGTTGGTGTTTTTGTCGGTTTTGTTGATTTGTTTGTATGTTTTTTTTTTGCGTTTTTATTATAATAGTTTGTAGTATTTGTAATAGTTTCTTGCTTGTTTTTGCCTTTTTACATGGGGGATCAGCGGATGGTCATCAAAGTAGTCCCAGCAGCAGGATCAATAGCGTGCCTCATCGTCATCGGTATTGGAGTTGGAATCATCGCAGTCCTCGTCGTCATCATCGTTGGAGTCCGAGCTGTCCGAACTGTCATCCGAATCGCTTGCATTCTGCTGATGTTGCTCCTGTGCATGGTGCTGTTGCTGCAGCTGCTGCTGCTGCTGCTGCTGTAAATGATGTTGCTGCTGTAAATGATGTTGCTGCTGTGGATTGTGCTGCTGATGTTGCTGCTGCTGCTGGGGATGGTGGCGTTGCTTATGCTGCTTCTGTTCTATCGTCTCCACAGCATGGTGTTGCCTCCTCTGCTGGTCGGCTAGCCTGGCCGCCGCCTCCGCCATGGCCACCGCTGGATCGGGAGCTGGAGGCGCCACCACTTCCGTAGCCGTCGTGACCGCCACCGGCGTGGCACTCATCAAAGTCTTGTCATAGTCCATCACCAGCTGCTTGATGTGCGCCAGCTTGGCGTGCAGGTAATCAAAGCGCTGCTTGTCCTCTCCAATGGTGCGATCATTATTGATCCGCTCGTACTCGCACACAATCTGCCGCTTTATGTGATCGTAGTCCCCGTATCCGTTGTCGCAACGTCTTGCGCTCTCCAGACGCTCGGACAAGTCCTGGAAGCGGTTGCGCACATCCTCCACGCGCATCAGCAGCTTGCGGTACTCATCGTAGTCGCTCTCGAATTCAGTCTTGTAGCGCCGCCGCACCTCCAGCGTCTGGATGGGCACGTATTGGCTGAAGTCGTAGCGGGGCATCGAGGATGAGTCCGCATCCGCGGTGGCATGGGCATAGGCATGGGCAGCAGCCGCCAACTGTTGCGTGGGCGACGGATGCTTGGCCTGCTGATGGTAATGATTCTGCTGCTGCTGTTGCGCCTGATGCGGCTGCTGTTGCTGCGGCTGACGTTGCTGCTGCTGTTGCTGCTGCTGCTGATGTTGCTGCTGCTTTTGTGGGTGCTGTTGTTGATGTTGCTGTTGTTGCTGTTGCTGCTGCTGGAGGGACGAACGCGAGTTGGAGGAGGCTGAGGATGAGGGCGGCGGCACTTGCTGATAGCCAGAGTTCGAGGCACTGGAACTCCTCTGCCGCTGACCATTTGCTCCACCACTGGGACCACTACTACTCGTCCTTTTCTTGCTGTTAGAGGCGGCATGTTTCGTGTTATTGCTGTTGTACGAGTTGTAGTCGCTCTGCTGGGGCGGATTACGCTGCTTGCTGGTACCGGAACCGGAAGCGGATGCAGAGCCCGCTGCAGCAGGCACAAAACTGGCCGCCAGCTTGGGCGGCGTCGTCGCTGAGGCGGATGAAGATTTGCTGTTACTGCTGCTGCGGTTCGACGACATGGCCGCTGTTGTCCGCTGGCGATCCTGCTGCGTTTCGTAGCCACTGGAGCTGCTTGAATTGCTGCCCGTGGAGTTCCGCTTGTCCTTGTTGCCACCACTATTGCTGGCGCCCGCCATCGCAGAGCTGCCTCGCCTACTACTGCTACTGCTGCTGCTCCTTGGATGATGCTGTTGTTGTTGCTGCTGTTGCTGCTGCTGTTGCTGCTGCTGCTGCTGTTGCTCAATCGTTTGCTGCGTTGCTGCTGCCGTCGAGCTCATAAACTCCTCCATGTTGTCCAGCACATTGTAGCTGAGATCACTGGTGCTGTGATCGTCCAGCGGACCCGGCTGGCGTTGCGGCGGTGTATAACGATTACGACTGGAGGCGGACGAGCCCAGGGACATGGACACCGCAGCGGAGGAGTACGATGTGCCAGAGGGCGGAGTGTCCTTCTTGTAGTGACTGATGCGCTGCTTTTTGGGCTGCACAGTGCTGAACATGGTCTCGTCGTACTCGAGGCTTGTCCGCTTCAGGCTGCCGCCGCCCGCTCCACCGCCGCCGACTCCGCCAGGTCCGCCATTCATGGACGGCGGTGGTGGACTGCCCGTGTGCGTCGATGTGGGACTCTGGCCGGACGTCGAGCTGCCCGCATCCGAGCTCATCGGCGGCGTCAGGTTCTGTGGCTTGCGACGCTTCAGCTGCTGCACTTCCTGCTCGCTGAAGAAGGGCCAATTCTCGTCCACATCGTTCCACATCTGGCGGCGCAGATTGTACGTGTTTTGCGACATGGTGCTGATGTCCATGAGTATGTTGGTGATCTGATTGCGCTCCCGATCCCGAATGCCCTCGTTCTTGAGCCGCGCAAAGAGCTCTGGTTTCTTGAAAGCCTTCAGGGCCAGCAGGTGGATGAGCCGTTCGCGTATGTTACGCCTAGAGACATCCGACATCTTGTTGCCGCCCGACGACTTGTTATTGGCACTCCTGGAGGACGAGGAGGAGTTGGAGGAGGTGAGGCCTCCGCTTGGCATCTTGTTGCGTGAGGAAATGGCTGATGATGCTGGCGCACCTGATGCTGCTGCTGATGCTGGCATGGCATCCCTTGGCGAGCTGCCACTCAGGTTGTTGTAGCCCTGCGAGATGCCGTTGGCGAATGTGGAAGCTAGCGAGGAGGCGGCGCCTCCATTATAGCGACCACCACCACCAGAACCGGAGCCGGAGCCATTGACTGTGCCGCTGGCGCCCAGCGTGCTGGGATTGGGCGAACGCGAGGCAAACGCGCTGGAGGAGCTGCTGGATCCTACGCCTAGGCCATTAAATGGCGATGAACCTAACTTACGACTATGGTTGTTGCTATTAAAACTATTGCTGCTGCTGCTGTTGTTGTTGTTGCTGTTGTTGTTGTTGTTGTTGTTCCCACTGTTGTTGCTGTTGCTGTGATGATGAAATGCCGTCGTCGTCAAACCGGAGTTAGAGTTGGAGGAGGAGGAGGAGAAGGAAGAGGAGGAGAAGGCTGAGGCGGTAGAGGCGGATACGGAGGCTTGAACTGCAGATGGCGGCTTCTTCACCTTACGCCCGATATCCGACTGATTCGGTTTAATCTCCCTGATGCACTTGCTCTTCTCCGTCTCCTCGGCAATGGCCATTTTTGTGCGTGTCGTATCGTAGACATCGTCATTGGCATGGATCCGCATTCGCAGGGTGACCGCTCCGAGGACTCCGAGGTTCTGTTGCTGCTGCTGAACGCACTCCAGCGTTCCCTCCATATTGTTGATGGTGAAGCCAAATTTGCGACCACCACCACCACCACCGACTCCTCCTCCTCCGGCCGCGTCGCCGCCATTGCCATTAGCATTAGGGATGCCATTAGCATCCGTCGCTGGTCGCGGGAACTGGATGACGCCCGTGTTGCCCACAAACTGGATCTTGGCCCGCTGGCCGGGCTGCAGGCGTTTGGCGTTGTCATCGCGCTGATATTCCTCGATCGCACGGAACGCGGAATCGGTGAGCTTGACGATGATGTACTCCTTGCTATCATCGGTGTAACGGTGGCTCTGGGACATTCCATAATTGCCGGTCGATAGTGCATTGGGCAGGCATTTCGTTGACGCAATCGAATTGGTCATAACGTGCGCGCAGCTAGCCGCCAATTAGATAGCAATTAGATAGCCCCTCGATCGTTCCCGGATAATGGATAATGGGATCGGCGGTTGTTGGAAGGTTGCTGTCTGCTGCTTGTTGGTCCAGCTTGGAAACTGTGAAAAGGGGGCTGTGTTCGCTTGGAAGGTGACCGTTTGTGGACGGGAAGGACGGGAAGCACTTGTTGTGGAAGTTGTCGTCCTGGAAGCTGCCTTTTGAAAGTCCGTCTCTCCTGTTGTTGTTTTAGTTGTTAATTCTGTGCAAATATTGCTTCAATTTAGTATGTTGTAATCGTAACTGAAATTTACGTTGTTGCTAAGACGTGACACACATGCACATCGCTCTCTTTTACTCTCACACAAAAACACTAACTATAGACTTGATTTTTTTTTTTTTTTTCGTTTTTAAGCTGAGCTTACACACAAATATTTTTTTTTTGTTCAACGAATGCAGACTCTCTTTGTATTAGCTGTAAGAATTTCACTTCCGTATGGCAAAGGCAACAATATTTTATAAATTTACACTTTCAAAAAGTCATATTCTCTCTCGCTCTCGCTTGGTCTATCTGTATGTGTGTTGCTTGCAAATAACACAATTTCTTTTGTTAAATAATATGGTATTTTAATTGGGTTAAGGTAGGCATGTATGTTTGCTCTCTTGTCCCTGTTTTTGTTGCTTTTGATGTTACTGAGCAAGGGAGACGGGGGAGGAGGCTTTTGATCTACTGCTCTCTTCTGCCCCTTTGTTTTTGTTGCTGTTTATAGTTGAAAGTGCCGCAAGTAACGACTCCTGCGCCAGGTGTCAATATGTGTGTGCGTGCGTGTGTCGCGTGTCTCTCACTCGCTCGCACTCGCACTCGCTTGTATGCCTGGACGTTTGTATGTATGTAAGAGAGCACCTCAGGTCATAAGCAAAATCAAAGACAGCAAATCAATCCCCTGCACCGTTCGCACACGTCCGAGACTGGCCTCGCGTTCTCTCACTTGCTCAAACGACGATCGCAGGCAAGCGCGTTGAAGCGAGATGACTGCTGGGTTTGATTGGCTTCTCCGCGACTTGTTGTTGTTGCTGCTTGATCTTTTTTTTTTTTTCCTTTTCGCTTTTTTCGCTAAAAATCATCTGTGTTTGTACGCTGATTTTTATATATTTTACTGGCACTGGCTCTGCTTATTATATTTTTTAGTTGCACATAGATACATAAGTACGTTTTGGTCTATCGCAGTGTGCACTCACACACACTGAATCGTTTTTTTGCACACGCACACGAAATTAAAATTTAAATTTCAGCACTTGAAATATTGTTTAATTTTAATGCCTTTTACCACTTTTTGTGCTGCGATTGTATTGGGTGGCACTCACGCACACATAACCGTACGCTTTACGCGTTCGGGACACTTTTACTCAAGACATTTTTGGTTAGGTTAAATGTTGGTACTTTCATTTGAAACTGTTCTGAATTTGTCGTTTTCTTATTTGTAGTACTTTTATATATGTTTTTAAGTGCAGCTTAGTTGCCTTCTCTTTTTTTTTAGTGCGTCTGTGTGTGCCAAGGTATCTTAATCAACGTACAAAAGGTATCTGCTAAATGAAATCGAAACGAGTTGCTTTCAAGTGGTTGCCCGTCGCTAGCTGTTGTTGTTATTGCTGTTGCTCTCTTTGCACTCGTTTATTACAAGTGAGAGAGAGAGAGCGGAAGTAGCGAGTGATCTCTCTTAGTTAATCTCTTAGGCTCTCTCGCTTCTTTATTTTGTACGTGCCTTGTATCACTTGCCGTCTTTTTAGTTGTTTTTGTTATTGCCAGTTAAGCAAAGCAAAGCAGAAATGAAAACAAGTTTGCAATATTATAATGTGCGCACTTGGCACTCGTCAATCTCTTATTTTTTTACCTCTCTTTTGGAGCGTGTGTGTTTGTGATTTGGGCACGTCTTAGCAAATATTACAAAAAAAAAACCATGCTTACATTTGGTTGTGTGTATGTGTTTTAGCTGGAAAACTGCAGGCGGCACTATAAGAAATAGTTCAGCTTAGACGTGGATTAACAAGCAAACAATGCACGGTGTACTTACAATTGATTATGTATTCTACTAAAAAACAGATTGCTTTTGCTGTTGAAACAGCTGTTTTGCCACCTGTATGCCCCCACACCACGTCACACGTAGTTGTTTGTGCTGCTCTCTCCCTGCTCTCTTTCTCGCTGCAGCGAAAAAGTTCCAACAAAACAGAAAGAAAAAAACAGCGCAACTGCAACAACAAGCGTGTGCCAGTCGCAATCAGCTGTTCTGCGCTCACTCGCTCTGCACTCTCGCTCAGCAGTGTTGGTAAATGCGAGTGGGGTCGATTGGCTGGTGGTTAGGGTATCGGTCAATCGATAAAGGAAGCAACACACGGAAAAATGAGCTTTAAATTTGGACGTTGACTTCTGTGTTGCTGCAAAGTTGTGACCAGTTTTAGTATAAAATCACGCTTATGGATTTTTTTTTGCATACTTGTGGGTTGTGATTGTTGCCTTTCTGAGCATGTGTGTTGTATATTGGTGATTTCTGCTTCGTCGCCTTGTTGATGCTTTGTCTTATATTAACTCTACACTTTGGTAATAAAAAAAAGTTAAAACACTTTAGTATTTTATTTGCATTGCACTTGAGATTGTTTTTTCCACTCTCCCATTTCACTGCGTAACCGTTACTTGTGAGTTTTTCTTCTTTTTCTTGTTTGTTTTGCGTTACGCGATTCGCGATCATACGTTTTCGCGCTCAGCTGTTTTGTGTTTACGTTACTCGCTCTAGCCTCTCGCTGCTCTCTCTTACTCTCCCTCTTTATTCAAGGTTCTCTTAGCAAAAAGAGCAGCGCGCACGCGACATTCGCTCCGTCATAATTTTGACCCGTTGTTGTTGTTATGGTATTTTTTGTTCACTTTTGACATTTTTGCATACGAAAATTTTCCGCTTTCAGGTAGATTTACCGTAGCGCAGATCTTCTAACATTTATGGTTGAGTGTGTGTTTGTTTTGAGTGTTCGCATTTTCGTCGTGCCTGTTTTTCAGCCTTTACCGTTTTTTTTTTTTTGCCTGGCTTATCTCTGTTCTGTTTGTTTTTTCGCTAGGAATTTGAGCCGCACACACACGGTAACGCGTGCTTATATGTACGTAAGGTAAGTACTTGTTTGTATTCCACAATGAAACTATATTTCTATTTCGTTTTTCCCAACTTGCCAGTGGTTAAAAGTAAGGTAAAACAGACAAGGGCGCACACCTGCCCGTGGGAGGGAGGGAGAAAGCAACAAACTGCTATAGACTGGCCGGAGTGGAGAGGGAAGATGTAGTTTTGCCTCGGTGGAAAAACCCAGAGTACAACTTCCCCTTATTTTACCCAATGTCCCACGAGGAAAGGATGCCCATAAATGTGGTTTAAAGAAAAGCCTCTCAAACCCATATTTCGTCAAGGTTAAAACTCAGAGTTCATATATACACATAGATGTGCTTATTTATTTATGCATGTAAATTCATACAATTTTTAAAACTCTTAATAAGTTTATATTTATTTCAGTCAAATAATTTTTTAATGCTGTATCAATGTAAACAAGTTTTTGAAATTTTAATATTAAATTCATTAAAAAAAATTATTCACTAAAAATAATTCGATTTACAAATTCTTTTTTTGTAGAAATTTGTATTTGCTTTAAAAAACGTTTAGTTTGAAAAACCTTTTCTTACAACATTCTTCGAAATAAAACGACTTTTATATTCTAACAGCACGATAAACTCAATATTATACCTTAAATGTCAAAAGTCATAAAAAGTTAAATATATATTCTGAGGCTCTACAATTCTAATTTCAAATTTGAACTTTAAGTGAAGTATTATTTTCTTAACCTGAACTGTAAATACAATACTGTCCCTGAACGGTCTGCATGTGTGCGTGTGGTTGTGTACGCCTCGGTAACAAAAAATTCGCAGTCAACTTTAAACAAATTAGCTGAAATATACTCAACTGTGCATATAAAACAACAAAGAGTCGTAGCGCATTCACCAAGCAACCATAATAAAATTTCAAGTTTCGTTTTTGTTCAAATAGCATTGAGGGAAAAACGCCGAAAGGCCAATGCACTGATACAACACAAAGTGAGGTGAGGAGAGGGATGGGAATGAGAAAAGGAATAGGATGAGGATGAGGATGAGGAAGAGGTGACGGCACAATGTCAGGGGCAAAGGACAGACAAAAGGAAATGCGAGGATTTCGACAACAGCTGTTTGCCGCAGGAAACAGAAGCCATCAACCGCTAAGAACCCAATGAAAAGGAAAGAATATACAAGTAGGAAGGAAGTGCACGATCCAGACATTGAGATACTCAGCAATCAATACAGGAGGATTAGGAATTTTAAAGATTACGAAAAATGTATCTTAAGTAAATTTGGTTAGAATTAATCAAAGATTTTTGAGATGTGGTAAAGTCAAAAATTGAGTTGTATTTTAAGATACTATTAGAATTGACACATCGTTTGCAAGGTCAATTCAATAATAATCATTGGTATACTATTACATTTTATCTTTACGGACAATAGAGTATTCGATTAGATGGACTATTGAGGTGAATTTGGTTTCATTCTATCAAAACAATATACCCTCACTATGAGGTGCAATAAATGGAATCTTTTTGAGAAAGATAGACTAAAAACGTGTGCACTGGAATGCTCAAGAGAAGAGACAAACGCACACGCTCACGAACGTCGAAACACGCTTCCTAAACCCGCCGTACAATCCATTCCCCTAGGTGCATACAGATACAGATACAACCACATATATATGTGAAAATGTATAATCTCACGGGTGGAAAATAGATGACACACTCGTCGCTGTGGTTCTACATACATACATACATATACATATGTATGTAAGATACTTGTACTCGTAGAGCGTTGCAGCTGTCAGCTGTGCACGAGCAGTTTTCTTTGTGCTACACTTCTTTACAACAACAACAACAGCAACAGCAAAAGACACACGAGTGATAACAATGCCCAATGAGGAAATGGGGCAACAAGAAAAGCAACGGGGACGGGCCTCTCAGCAATGTTTGTATATTTGTTTATACTTAATCCATAGGTTAGGGTATGTGTTATAGGAAATCTTTGCAGTACACACTAGGGCAGTCGCCAGCTACGATCGCTTACAAATACCAGAACGATCGATCGGTAAAGCGACCGACGAGGGCTAGACTACAAAAAAGAAAATGCAAGCATTGCGTATCAAAAGAAATGAAATATGAGGTTCTTATCAGGAAGTTGAGAAAACTATGGGATACGTATAAATACTGCGCTTCTAGGAAAGGCATTCACTTGCAGAAATGAGTATTTTCCAGAACTAACTAGTATCATATTTAAGTCCCAAGTTATAAAGAATTGTCATATTATCTTATCAGTGCTTAGACAGTTTTTTTTTATTCAGTAGATGCAATTGGACTTAAATTTAATTTAAAATTGCTACAAATAATTATAATCAGATTTCTAAAAAAGAAGTACAATTCCAGTGAAAAGAGTTTGGGTAAATCTTGGCAGTTCTTTCAATAAACAATCATGAAATTAATATTTTTAATTAATGGTCATTATAAAAATATTTTTCTTAAGGAATGGTCGGAAAAATTCGTTTTTATTTTGAAATGTAAGTTGAGACATTAAATATATAGATTCGTAGGAAACGGAAAAATATGTGTGTATGTTTTGCACACATTGTTCAAACTGTTCAATCAAATTGCAAACTTTTTAAAGTATTCCACGTTAATGGATGGAATCAACAGACTTTGCACCTACTAATATCAAAGAAAAAACCGAAAGAAACCCAAGAGTGCTTGAAATGCAACCGACTGAGAGCAACAACAGCCATACACACGAAAGTAATCAGGCCAGTACATACGAGGTGTGCGAGTGTGCGGAGTGAATAATCAATTGCCGGAGCAACCCGATAATGATGGCAAACCGACTGGGGCTCTGGATCTGGGGACCGGACAGCCGCGAACGCCTTATTGGTAATTGCCCACACGGGAATCCCAAATGCCTTGGACGGACATTGTACGACCAAACATACAGACATTTTTCGTATTGTTTTTCCCCATATCGGTGCATTTTTCGTATTGAGAGAGGAAGAGCGCAGCGAGAGCCTAAACCTCATACACATCTATTTTATATGTATAATAAAATGGCAATATTTTAAATTTTATCTTCGGTGGTGGGCTATTTATAGTCGAGAAAAAACAACAAGAAAAACGCCAGAGAAGGCACCCACAACAAAATGAATACGCTCTCTACGCCAGCATTTATTTGTTCGAGTGTGTGAGTCACACATCAAGTGGGAAATATTTTACGATAAAAAGTAAAAATAAAAAGGTGCTAAATGCCGTCGCACCGCACTTGAGTTCAGATGCCGTTTGCCGGGGTTTATTTTCAACAGTGCTGCACCGCTTGTAAATGGCGTTTATCGAAATAATCGATAAATTATATCGAAAGCATAATCTTTAACATTTCCCCTTGTTAAATTAAATTTGTTCTACAATAAACTACCGTTGTTATGTTTATCAAACAGTTAAACCAAAATTCAAAGTATTTATGATATTTAAAATTTACCCACAAAGTGGACTTTCAAGGAACTAATTGTTCAATCAACTGAGTTAACTATAATAATGACTAATAGTTCATAAGAAAAAGCCATGAATTATAATGTTGACGTAAATCATTAACAGCGGCTCGGTAAATGGTTTCAAGAAATTTACTTCCACGTGGGAAATACTAAGCTTGTTTTGAGGGTGCAATTAACTAAGTGTTTAGAATTAACAAAACCTATGATGCACACAATTCATTCTAAGCTTATCTGAAGGCACTGAACTCTATAACGTCAGCAGCAACAAACGATATATCGAAAAAAAAAATAAGCAGAATAAGGCACATATAAAAAAGTGCGTACAATGAACTTGTAGCCCGTTCAAATTCTCGATCCAGAATGACAAAAACAAAAAGGAGCTAACAGCTGAAGAATCAAAACTGTTCGTTCAACGACCGATCATTGCATAATTCAGATTCGGTTTTTTATAGCAAAAAAGTGAAACGGAAATGCGTAAAGCTCTTAAATACTGATATGTGTTTGAAGGGTTACGGGTGATTCGGATTGGAAAAACATTGACCGTGAATTGGCATAAATCGGAATTTCAACATACGCCGACATAGGCAATCCAAGATTAGATTGGGGACTTTTTTGTGTGAGCTTATTTACGTGACATCGTTATCTCTACGTTGGAAGGCACGAAAACCAATGTACCAACCAATTCGATGGATAAAGAAAGCTTTTAGCAGCTGTTTGAAGCCTAGAGAATTTAAATAAAACAAAACGAGAAACCACTTTGAAATGTGTTTTCTACGAAGCCTGTATTAATGAGCATCTCTCGTAGAATCTGGTTTTTTTTTGGGTCCAGTCGTCAAACGAAAACAAATACAAATACAAATACAGCCCGACAATAAAAAGCAATTTAAATTTAATCAGAAAAACACACTAAGAGGAGGATATAAAAACAGAACTACCGGCACACGTTTTCAGTGATTTTATTT